AGCGCTTGCGCGCTCGGGCGCCGCGAGGCGGGCTGGGTGCGGGGCGGGGCGGGGCCGGGGGGCAGGCTCTAGTGCGCATGGGCGGGCCTTCCTCCTGGTCCCTAACCGCTCCGTTCAATTTCCACTCGCGTCGCACTCTGGCCAGGCGGTTACTTGAGTGCCTCTGGTTGCCGAAATGTCTGTTGGTAGAGATTCCGTGAAGGGAGGCGAAGGCAGAGGAGAGGAACCAGTCGAGGCCATCACCTGGAGCGAGCACTCGGAGAGGCAAGTGGAGGAGAAGGAAGAGCCGAGGAAGGTGGAAGAGGTGGTGGGGGCTGAAGGCTGCTCTGGTGATCGTGGCTCAGGGAAGGGCCGCACAGGTCCAGACCTTCTGGGGCATGCCGAGGACGAAGGGAAATTTCGGAATATCCGCAAGCAGTACCGGCGGCTCATCTACAGCGTCCAGCAGAACCGTGAGGACATCGTGAACACGGCGAGCGAGTCGTTGACCGAGGCTCTTGAAGAAGCCAACGACCTGTTCGATGGAGTGAGCCGAACCAGAGAAGCGGCCCTCGACGCCCAGTTTCTCGTTCTGGCTTCTGATTTGGGTAAAGAAAAAGCAAAGCAGTTAAACACCGATATGAGCTATTTTAATCAAGTAGCGTTTTGTGACTTTCTGTTTCTATTCGTGGGTCTCAATTGGATGGAAGATGAGCACGATGAGTTGAGCAGTTGCGATGATGATATAACTCTTTCCTTCTGGAAGACAGTACAGAAAGAAGCCACATCCTGGATGTTGCGAACCGAAACATTCCACTTCGTTTTTGGTTCATTCAAGGCAGAATCTTATGCACCAAAGCCCCGACCTCACCGTCCCAAGAAAGTTCGCAAAGTGGAAGTAAACAGAGCTATGCCTACAAAGTTGAGGAAGTTGGACCTGAATAGTAATCAAGAAACAACGGAAAAAGAAGTGGAAAAAATCTTGGGATTGTTGCAAACCTACTTTCAAAAGTATCCTGATACTCCTGTGTCCTATTTTGAGTTTGTAATTGATCCAAACTCCTTTTCTCGAACTGTGGAAAATATATTTTATGTTTCCTTTATTATAAGAGATGGCTTTGCAAGAATAAGGCTTGACCAAGACAGGCTGCCATTATTAGAGCCAATTAATATTAACCAAATAGGTGAGGAAAGTGAGCCTGCTTACCATGGCAGGAGACAAGGAGTTATATCTTTGAGTTTACAAGACTGGAAAAATATTGTGGAAGCTTTTGAAATTTCAGAGGCTATGATCACAAACTGATGCTAAAGATTTTTGTTAAGAGTTCATCTTGTGTTTTCTCTGAAGTATCTCAAAATGGAAAGTTACAAAGTGTAAAGTGAAAAACTATTTTCTAGAACAGCAGTAATTGCTTTACTGTGCAATGTATTTTTGGCAATTTTTAAGATCATAATCTGTTATTAAAAAAAGTTCACTAGCACGTTTATGGGAACATTTTTTGAATGCCCTTTAATGCAGTTACTTTATATTAAAATTAAGTTATAAATTTTATAAATTTAAAGGTATTTGCTAATTTACCAAAAAAGCTAGTTTTTGTGCTTTATGATACTGCATTGCTGCTTCTTCACTGTGTACTAAGCAAATCTCATAAGGGTATTTTTGTGGGAAGAGTGGGTGGGGCAAAAAGGCCAAGAAAAATTATCTCTAAGGCTGAGAATATTCAGATGCCATCCTTCATTGCAAACAACTCAGATTTATGAGTGGGTATGTATTCTCAGCAGTTTCTCCTGTGACTGGACACAACAAAAGTAGAGTGTCTTTATTGTAGTCAGAAGCATCAACTAAGGGTTGAGAGATGAGTGGAACTAGAAGGCATACCAGGGCAGGACAATAGCAAGGTCAGAGGCATGGTGTTGTGAGAAGTTACGGTCTGGGAGAATCATGGGATTTCTAGGAAAAATAGTCTAGTTTAATTATAAGCTAGGCAAGAATTGAGTGACTTCATCTACTGTATCAAAAGGTGTAGAAGATGTTTTTCATTAGGCTACTTCAAACAAAATCTTTGCATCTGGTTATGAGCTTTATCTACTTGGTTAATTTCTCTGGTTCCTATTCCATCTGTAATTTCTGCTAGTACACAGTATCCTATAGAATTAGTAAGGTTTCGTTCGTGTAACAACTTTACATATTTGTCCTAGTTTAATTTTGCATTTCTCAAGGCTGTAAACTGTCCCTTTTTAAAATGTGTTAGTTTATCCAAATATTCTACACTTAGTATAAGGCCATAAATTTTTTTTTCCTTTTTGTTGCTTGTAATGGTTTTAAAAATAAAAATTACAACCTTATTTGGAGATTACTGCTGAAAATTTGGGTTATTAAGGGAAAAGTTTTAAAATGTGCTGCCATGAGTGCCCATAAATTGCTTTCCCTGATCCCTAAAGGATTCTAAGTTTTTATATTTGTGGAATTTTGCCTTAAACAATCATTTGGTAAGTGGGTAAGTATTTCTTAAACTTAGCAGTAACAGTAAACTTTCCGAAAAAGCCTAGTCTTGTCCAGGGAAGGGGTAGCAAAGGGTGCATGCACTCCTGAGCAAGACAAAGAGGGGGAAAGTGCAAACCTCCGAGGGAGAATGGCCACACTGCCGTCCCTTCTGTTCACTAGCCAGTTATTTTTTAAAGTAATCATTCCCTTTTTTCACATTGCAGTAGTGCTAACCCTTCCCAGTGTCTGCCACTTTTTAGAGTAAGGGACAGTTCATTCCCTCTTGCTGATTCTCACTTCAGCATGTCTTTACCAACCACGTTCCTTGAGTTTTCCAGAGATCTGCTGTTGGAGGGAAAAAATACTCTTTATTGGCAGCAAACAAACAAACAAAAACCATCCTACCCTAGTTCTCTATTCACTATCAAATTGCTCTTTTGAATGGCTTTTATTTTTATATACTAGAGTATTTGACATGTGGTGACTTAAAAGCATTAGAGGAATGCAGAGGTTTGGGGGAGAGGTTTAATGATATAAAATTTAAAAATTTATTGAATCGCCTCTAAAATTAGTAACTGTTCAAATGTAAGTCAAGTTGTCCATTTTGTTTTGATTTTTACGGGTTTTTGTGACATGATTTTCCTCACCATTTTGAAATGAAAGCTACTGCTTACCTTGAAAAAAGAATTGACCAATGAAAAGTAAGAGTGTATTTATAAAGATTAAGACCCAAACTGTGGGCCAGCTCATGGGTTGATGGTTAAGGTGGCTGGATCCCACATGACCAACTCATGTTTTGAATCCCAGTCCCAGCAGCTTGAAAAACATGCCATGCTTGCCCAAATTTTGAAAAGACAGGGAAGTGGAGGAAAAGGAATTGCAACATGACTATGCTCCTTGAGAGGTGCTTTCTTTCTTTCCCTCTTTCTCCCCCTGCTCTCTGGCAAATTAAGAAGAAAAAAGCCCTGTACATTCACCTGCTTTCCACTAAAATAGAGTACTTTAAATTTTGTACATTCAATAAAATAACCTGATTTTTAGAAAACTATTCTGATTTTTTTTAAAAAAAATTAGAAATGTATGGATCAGCAGGTGGTATGGTAGTTAGGGCACTGAACCTCCATATGGCCTACTGCAGTTCTAGTCCCAGACCCAGTGGCTTGAAAATCACACTGGGCGTGTGTGCATCCATGCCCAGAATCCCAGGGGGATAGTGGAGAAGGGATTGTGGTGTAATCGTTCCCTCTGTGGGGGTGATTTCTCACTTTCTCACCTTCTCACCACCTCTCTCTCTGTCTCTAGCACCCTATGGCAAAAACATTAAAAAAAAAAAAATTAGAACTTCATTGAATAATAGAACTACTTTCTGATCAAAGGACCTAGGATCAGATCCTGACTCTGTTAACAGTCTGAGGTAGGAGATAGACACACACACACACACACACACACACACTCTGTAGTTAGGGTGTAGACCTGTGAGATGGAGCCAGCTTATAAGATGGAATCCTACTGGTCAGGCTTTTAATGAAAATCATTCACTGTTCTCACTAAAAATCAATTATTAGCTCTCACTGTTTGCTCACACAGAGCACTGCTTACAGCCTGCTTGAGATAATAATTGCTGAAACTAGCCTTTTTCAAATCACTGCTACATTCCAAACAAAGAGTGTTGTCTCTTGGTCTGGAGAGCAAGGGAGTAAAGGACCTTGAACAATAACCCGCCACGGAGTTATCATTTGAAAAATGGGAACATGACATGCAGGCTTGCACCTGCAAGATAAAGGGGCCTAAATGAATTTACATTTTAGAAGGACAAAGGGGAAATACATCAAAGGACAAAGCTTCATCTTAGACTTGTGGGAGACAAGATTAAAAACTAGAAACTTTGTGGTCCACAGACCTCAGGCAAAGATCTACTGACTGAATTAATTAAGGTCTTAATGCCTAAAATCTTGTGATTTGTGAGCCCACTTCCAACTGGGAGAAGAATGATGTGAATCTCCTGACACATAATCCCTGTGAGGAAGATGCATACACAAGTCCCTCCTTGCTGATAGGAAAACCCTTCACTCCAGCTCCTCTTTAGCAACCCATTTTCTGGACCTCTCTCCCTGCTTGGGAGCTCTGCTCTTGCTTCCCTCTTTTATAAACTGCTTTGCTCTCCCCTCTCTTTGTCCACGTCTAATTCTTCATGAGTGTGACACAAGAATGTGGGTGGCTTGTGGCTCTGGATTCAACATCAGTGTTGGGCCTGATCACCCCAACTTCCCACATCAATTCTAATTATGTACTTACAGCATATTATTTAACCTGTAAACTTTTAGTTTCCATCTGCCAAATGGGAATAATACCTATTAAATCAGAAAATATGTGTGACAAGTACTTTGAAATATGAATCACTAGGTGTTGTGTAGTGGGAAAATCAAGATACGTAATTGTGGGACCAGCAGCTGGCATAATGGCTATGTCGCTGGACTTCCATGTAGTCAACCACGGTTCCAGTCCCGGACCCGGTGGCTTAAACTCACACAGCGCGTGTGTGCGTGCGTGCCTCAGATCCCGAGAGGAGAACGGAGGAGAAGAGATTGCAGCGTCGCCATCTGTCCTGGGGGGTGATTTCTCGCTTTCTGTCTCTCTGTCTTTCTGGTGAGCGCATGCGCCCTACAGCAAAAAGCTCTTAAAGAAAAAGAAAGATGTAATTATAAGACACCCAAGTTCAATTTTTTGGCTCGATGCCAAGTTTCTTAAATCTCTGAGGTCCTCTCTGCTCTATATGAAATGGGAATGACATCTACTTTGGACGATTTTATTGTGGGGCTTATGGGATATAACGTATAAAACACAGCACAGTTTGTTTCACCGTAGACACTCACCTTCACATTTCACTCTCCAGATCAGTGTCAGCAGATTCCATAGTGCCTCTCCGTAATGGTGCTTTCACTTTTCTTTGAGTCTAGACAAAACTCTCTTAAACCCTGTCCTCATTCTGGGGAATCCAATATGAGATGATTGGAATCAGCACATTGTTAATTTTGCCCACTGTGCAAGCAGTGCTCTTAAGCACAAGGTGAAAATTGGTGGACAGAAAGCTGACCATCTCATTGGAATTTATATTTTAATGGGTATTTTAGTTTCTTACTGCTGTAACAAATTACCTAGTAACTTTAAACAACACTTTTACAGTTCTGGAAGTGGGACATCGTAACAAAATCAGTTTTGCTGGGCTAAAGTCAATAATATATCAACAGATCTGGTTCTTTTCCGTAGCCTTGGGAGAATGTTTTCCCTTTTTTTCCAGCTTGTGGAGGCCACTGCATTCCTTTCATTCCTTTCCTCCGAATTTTTTTTTTTTTTTTTTTTAAATTTTTTTTTGGCATTGGGTGTGCTCTCCAGAGAAACCGAGGGAAAGTGAGAATTCACCTTCCTCTTCTCCCAGAGGAATGGCCATGATGCAGTTCATTCTCAGGATTTTGGGCATGCTTACACATACACTCGGTGTGATTTTCAAGGTGCACTAGGTCTAGGACTTGAACCACGGTTGGCCATATGGGAGTCTAGCACTTTAACCACTATGCCACCTGCCGGCATCCCTCCTTTTTCAAAGCTGGCAGTGCAACCTCTTGCTTCTGTTGTCACATCTCCAGCTCTGTAATCAAGTTGCTCCCTGCTTCCCTCCTTGAAGGACATTTGTGATTACATCAGGACTACTGTGATAATGTTGGAAAATCTCTCCACATTTTTTTTGGGGGGGGAGGTTTTTGCTGCAGGGCACGTGCACTCGCCAGAAAGACAGAGAGAGAGAGACAGAAAGCGAGAAATCACCCTTCCAGGGGGGATGGCCATACTACAATCCCTTCTCCATTCACGTCTTGGGATTTTGGGCACGTACACACATGCGCCTGGCATGAATTTAAGCCACCGGGTCCAGGACTCTAACTGCAGTTGACTACGCGGGAATCCAGTGACATAGCCATTACGCCAACTGCTGGTCCCCCTTCTCCACATCTTTAATCCTATCTCCAAAGTACTTTTTACAGGTAACATACTTACAGGTTCTGGGGGTATGGACTTGGGTATTGGGGCTCTCATGGCAAGAGAAACAACAGTCGTCTTAATGGTGATTGCTCTCAAGAGAAACCATTTGGATAGTGTGGGAGTGGCAAAGAAGGCCTGCCGGGAGGAGACATTTGAAATGGACTATCCATCTCGAGTCACCAGAATGTCTGATACAGAGTAAGTTTTAGACTTACCTTGGCTGGGACTGGCCCCATGGTTTAGTCGTTAGGGGACCTGGATCCCATGTGACTGACTGTACAGTTTGAATCCTGGCCCTGATGAGCTGAAAAACAAGTGGGGTGCTATATATATATATGTGTGTGTGTGTGTGTGTTTCTGTGGACCCCAAATCCTGCCAGGATGGGGAAATGGAGAAGGGATTGCAATGTGACCATACTCCTTTGGAGGAACATTGTCTCCCTGTCTGTCTTTCTGGTGAGTGCATGCCCCCTATGGCAAATAAATGATAAGTAAGCTTGGGCAATAGATACTTTTGGTGCCTCCTAGCTAACTGTTCATGGAGAATCACCTCCCCTCTGATTGACTTTCAAGGAAGATAGTGTAGCAAGCATCGCTATTTCCCTGAGCAGGAAGATTCACCAACCACCGTCCATTAACCTTGACTCAAAATTTCTCACGCTGGGGATTAGCAAATGTTTTTGTAAAAAGTCAGATAGGAAGTATTTTAAACTTTCTGAGCCGGATGGCCTATGTTGCATCTAAGGGATTCTATTGTTTTTCAGTTGCCAATATTTGAGTTCAGGTGGCACTAGGGAAAGTCAGTTTTCTTTGCACGTGATGTATGAAACATGAAATCTAAGCAATTTGTCATCCACATAGCTCTAAAACATATTGGCTGTTCAGCACTTTTCTCCAACTGAAACCTACACGGCCGGCTCCTCACCGTTCTTGTGATGCGTAGCTTCTACACCACAGTGCTGCTGCAGTGCCTTACCGTGTGTAAACACGGAGTCCTTACTGTGCAAAGGGAACTGTACTACATTTGGTTTACATGGATGGCCTGATCGAATTCACACATAGCCCTGAAGAATGCATGTTGTTTTATCACTTTTGGCTTTGTAAAAACGGAGGCAGGAGAATCAAACATTTTGCCCTGTATCATATGCATATGACAAAGTCAGGTTCAGATTTGGACCAAGTCTTAGCTTGTAACTCCTTGTACATTTTCCCACCATGCTTTAAATTTTATGGACAGGAGCACCGAAACCCAACCTTGGTGTACATAGCAGAGTTGGAACAATTACTCAGTCTTTTATTCTAAAACGTTTTGAACATCGCATACATGCACACAGGGTCACCACTGGGGGTGTAGTGATGAAAGACTGGATGCTTTGTCTTGTGGGGTTGATGGGATTGTGGGATCTGGGGACCAGCAGTTAGTGTAATGGCTATGTCACTGGACTCCCATGTAGTCAACCGTGGTTTGCGTCCTGGACCCGGTGGCTTAAACTCACGCTGGGCACATGTGTGTGCGTGCCCAAGATCCCTAGAGGAGAGTGAAAGAGAAGGGATTGCGGCGTGGCCATCCCCCCGGGGGGGTGATTTCTTGCTTTTTGTCTCTCTGTCTGTCTAGCAAGCCCACGCACCCTATAGCAAAAACCTCTCCAAAAAAAAGAATGATGGGATTGTGGGATCTCAGAGGAGGAGCACTCAGTTTAGGGACTATCAACTCAACTCTTGAACGACCTGCAGGGCTGAAGTGGAGAAAAGAGAACATCCTAGTAGGGAAACAATTCATACTTAATGCCCTGACAACATGTTATTGTAGTTGCAAGAAAAGGGGAAAATGTTGTTTGGGAACTTAATGGAGACTTGATGGTTAAAATGAGGCTTGTGTTGAGGGATCTCAGCATCTTGGTAAAGGAATTCTTCCTAGGTTCCAAGGGGATGCTTAGAGGAGTAATGCGTTGTGTACAATACATTGAGTATAACTAATGTAACTTTTGCTACTGGATCAGATTTGATAGGAAGAGGGCATATTGGAGGGGTGGGTGCAGGGAACACCTTAAAAACATATTGCAGAACTTGATGCAGGCAGTTTCCCTTCTTCAGGACTTGTTTCTTTGTCTCTACTTACCCATTCTCTGTCTTCCCTTCTTGTACTTTATGGGAGAAACTGTCTTCTGTCTTATTTATATTTCAGGTAGGATGCCACTTAAGTGGAGCAGACAGCAATTTCAGGCATTTTTATTTATTTTTATTTTTGCTTATAGGGTGCATGTACTCACCAAGAGACAGACAAGGAAAAATGAGAAAGTGCCCCCTGAGGGGACGGCCCTGAAGAAATTCCTTCTCTGGGGATTTGGGGATGATTTCAATTTTAAATAAGGTTAAAATTTAAGGTTCTTTTTATGTCTTTTTTAAAAAAAATATTTTTATTTAGCTTATTTATTTATTTTAATTTCACTAGAGAGGGACAGAGAGAGAGAGAGGGAAAGTGAGAAACCAAGCCACCAAGTCCAGCACTCAGACCGTTGGCCATGTGGGAATCCAGCGTCCTTAAAAATGTCCAGGCTTGGGACTAGCAGGTGACGTGGTGGTTAAGGTGCTGGACACTCCCACATGGCTGACCACGGTTCAAGTCCTGGACCTGATGACTTGCTTTCTCACTTTCCCTCTCTCTCTCTGGTCAAATTAAAATAAATGACAGATAAATAAAATTAAACAAAATAATTTTTAAAATTAAGTAGTATTTTTAAAAATGTCCAGGCTTGCTCAGAGTTTTCTTTGTAAAATCTGTGCACTGGTTGATATAACTTTAACCTTGAACCATAAGAACCCAGCTCAGATACAGAATTTCTGTAAAGAGCAGAATGTGAACATTGGTTGAGAAAATGTTTTCTTTCGTTTGTTCTAGGAGGTTTATTGGGGGAAGAGGGTTCCAAGAATAGGTGATTTTTTCAGCCAGCCAGTGATTTTTGTGTTCTCACTCTCTGTGCATGCAGATAAGACAGGTTTGAGATTAATATGGTTCCTTTATTTTTCCAGGAAAACATTCCCCTGTATTTAGTAGTTAACTCTTTGAACCAACAGGTCAGTCTCCTGTTCTTTGAGGCCGCCCAGGGAGTAACACTAGTTACTGAAGCTTCTGTTGGTACTTTGATCCCAATGGCTATGACTCCCAAATCTTTTTCCCCACAGAGCTTTGTATTGAAGGAGGAGCCTCTGTCATAATGCCAGTTGAGGAATACTGGCTGTGTCTACCAGCTTCCCATGTTAGACCTTTTGTGCAGAGTATCAGGGTGCCGACTCGTCCCTCCTGTTGCTGGTTTCCAGGTCTTCTCCCTCCAGTCCCTGAGCCATCATGTGTGTCCGCCATGCTGCCCAGAGGCAGCCACGGTGCTGGACTTCCTCCTTCGCTTTCCTCACCCCCTTCCGCATCCCAAGCACCCTGCTCTTCTGCTGACCCCGAACCCTGCCTTTCACCCCCTCCATCTGATACTAGGCAGGAGAAACATGTGCAATCTAGACTGGTAAGTTTGGGGGCTTATTTTAATTTTTAAGGTTTAAGGAAAAAATCATTATACTATGCTTGTTAACAACTTTTCCAGTCACTACCTCTTGTTAAAACAGATGCTTATTGTAATAAATGTTAATACTAAATGATTACCGAAATAGTGTTCTAAACCAGTATAAAATATAATTGTACAGTGTACAAAATTTGATGGAATGAAAGGATTTTTTAAAAAATAAGAGTTTAACATCTAAAGGGTAAAAAGTACATGCCAAGTATATGGAAAATAAACACTAAAAAATAATATAGGCGACCTCATGCATATGCAAATACAAAGAATGAGCTTTGCAGAACTATGCCTATCTAAAATGTGTTGCAAGAGCTGCAGTTTTTATGTTTAACTTTTCATACAAGTGTCCAGTAATGGTTTTGTTCTGAATTTCTAGGTTTTATGCCTTAGCTAAACTGTATAGAAAAGTCATAACACTTTGGTCAAACTTATTTTAAAATTGCTATATAAGCTGTACTTAGGTACTTATGTGAGGGGACTTCAAAGAATTGATCAAAATGTGTATTATGAAAAATCTGTGTGTAAGCTTAAGGTTTTCTTGGCACCAAAATAAGCTCATACTTTAAATTCCATTTTTCCACAAACTCTTTGAAGTTTTTACTAGGCCCATGCCTTAGTTTGAGATCTTAACATACTCATCGTAACTTTGACTAGAAAGTAAAAATGATTGCTAAATTATTTTGATTGTTCCATTAAAATTATATTATACAAATGTGTTTAAAACCCTAGTTTAAAATCTAGTTTAAAAATTTTAGGAAGGGACCAGCAGATGGCATAATGGTTACATTGCTGGACTCGCACATCGTCGACTGTGGTTCAAGTCCTGGACCTAGTGACTTAAAACTCATGTCAGGCACGTGTTCCTGTGTGCCCAAAATCCCGAGAGGAGAATAGAGGAGGAGAGGGTATTGCAGTATGGCCATCCCCTTTGAGGGATGATTTCTCACTTTCTATCTCTCTGTCTCTCCAGTGAGTGTACACGCCCTATAGCAAAAATCTCTCAAAAAGAAAAAAAATATAGGAAACAAGGACTGCTGATCAGACTTATTTAGGCCAAAGTTGATTTTATTGGACTGCCAGGACCTTACTTAGGTGGAAGCACCATATAAATGCTTCAGAGCAGTGAACAGTGATGTTGAAAAGCATTAGGACACAGTTCTCAGGAATCATGACCGAAAAGAAAGCAAGTTGCTGATCACCACTTAAAGGCTATCTGACTATTTCCATTTGTTGCTATACTATAACTCAAACAACATTTTTCCTTTGGAAATTCCTTTTGCTTTTATTTAAAGAAGAATTTTCTAAGAAAGCTCTTTGGACATTGCTGCTTTTAAGTTACTTTTCCTTCCATTGTTTCTCTTTAGGCTTACCAGGAGGGCAGACTTCAAAAACTACTAAAAATGAATGGCTCTGAGGACCTTCCGGAGTCCTATGACTATGACCTCATCATCATCGGAGGAGGCTCCGGAGGATTGGCAGCTGCTAAGGCAAGACTCCTTTGTGTGTTATCTGGATTGTGGCTACAGTAGTAGCATCCCTGACCCACAGCTCCCAGTTCTCTGTGAGGGGACTTCAAAGCCCGTTCTTGTGATGTTTTGCCTTTCAGCTTGGGCAGCCCCTGTTAAGTGTGCCACTGTATCATTTTTCCCCAGATTGAAATTTATGCTCTTTATATAAAAGTATAGGACCCAGTGTTTTGGTACACATTTTTCTAAAAATTCATTTTAAAGTTGGTTGATTTTTTTAAAGATACTAAATGTTTTATGGAAATGATTTGAAATTAATCAGATATATTTATTGTTCTTTATAAATATAAATAATTGAGTTTTTCTCTTTGATAATTTTCCTATTCACAACCCTTCCTCTCCAATAGAAAAATGAAAAGCAGTTGGGTTTCTTAACTTATTAAAAAAACTTATTTCTTAACTTTATTAAAAAAGGCTTGCCTCCTGGTATATGAGGTCACTTAAGAGAATAACCACTAACTCTGTGGCCTGGGGATGATGGAGAGTATCTGTAAATAAGGAAAGATAGGAGCAAGACTCCTGGCCCTCAATTGTGATGTATTTTCCATGTGAGGAGTCCTTGGAGCTCTTGGGCCTATAATCCTTACCCAACGCTTTTTTTTTAAAAAGAGATTTTTGCTATAGGGTGTGGGTGATTGCCAGAGAGACAGAAAGTGAGAAATGAGCCCCCAAGGGGATAGCCATGGTGCAATCCCTTTTCTTCTAGTCTCCTCTCAGGATTTTGAGCATGTACACACAAACACCTGCTTGAGTTTTAAGCTGCTAGGTCTAGGACTTGAACCATAGTTGACTTCGTGGGAATCCAGCGGCATAACCATTAAGCCATCTGCTGGTCTTGTTTTTGTTTTTAAAAAGAGATTTTTGCTATAGGGCATGTGCACTCACTAGAGAGACAGAGGAGAGATAGAAGGTGAGAAATTACCCCCCTGGGGGGATGGCCACGCCATAGTCCCTTTTCTTCCATTCTCCTCTTGGGATTTTGGGCATGCATACATGCCCAGCATGAGGTTTTGTTTTTTTCTTTTGGAGAGGTTTTCGCTATAGGGTGCGTGCGCTCACCAGACAGACAGAGAGAGACACAGAGACAGAAAAAGAAAAATCACCACCCAGGGTGGATGGTCACGCCGCAATCCCTTCTCCTCCATTCTCCTCTCGGGATCTTGGGCACGCATGCACACGCGCCCGGCGTGAGTTTTAAGCCACTGGGTCCGGGACGCGAACCGCAGTCAGTTCCCAAGGTTTTTTTTTAAAAGAGATTTTTGCTATAGGGCACACTTGCTCACTGGAAAAACAGAGAGATAGAGACAGAAAGCAAAAAAGCATACCCAAGGGGATGGCCACGCTGCAATCCCTTCTCCTCCATTTTCTTCTTGGGGTCTTAGGCATGCACGTGTACTTGGTGTGAGTTTAAGTCAACCAGGTCTGGAGCTTGAACTGTGATCAACTACTTGAGAGTCCAACAACGTAACCATTACGTCATCTGCTGATTCCAAACATGTTCTTTTTTTATTTAAAGAATTATCTTATTACACTTTGTTTATTATTATTACTACTGTTTTCCAGTTTGATCAGAGAAAGAGAGGGAAAGTAAGAAAGCAAGCCACTAGGTCTGGGACTCAAATCGTTGTCTGCCATGTGGTAGTCTAGCTCCTCTAACCACCATGCCACCTGCTGGCCCCCATTGAACACATTATTTTAAAAGATGAAGTACTCCTGCTCCCCTGAGTTGTAGCTTTTAGTGAATAGTGAAGATAGATTCAAATTAAGTTGCCCAAATTAGGAGCAGTCCAATGTCTAGCGTAAAGTAGCGCGTCAGAGCAATACCTGATGTGTTTTACTGTAGTAATGGTGTGTTTAAAGGGCACAGACTCAGTTCTTCCAAATAACCTTTGGAGGTCTAGTTCCCAGGACACAAAGCTTATTCTGTAAGAGAAAAGACACTCTGTAAAATGAACTTCTGTTTTATTCACTCCCCTAAAATAGATTTGGAAATCTCATAGTTAATTTTTTCATGGGTTCCTCACATAAACAATTTTAGGAAATTTGACAGTTTGAGAAGAAAACTCAATATTCTGCCTCAGAACCAAATTAGATAAGTTTTAAGTTTTAAAAATACTTTTGTTTGAGGACAGCAGATGGCATGGTGGTTAAGGGTGCTGGACTCTCACACGGCTGATCATGGTTCAAGTCTTGGACCTGGTGGATTGCTTTCTCACTTTCTCTCTCTCTCTCTGTCTCTCTCTCATTCTGTCCCTCTCTGGTCAAATAATAAATAAATAAATAAAACAATTCTTTAAAAATATTTTTATTCAATGTTAAAGAAGATGAATTTGGGACCAGCAGATGGCGTAATGGCTACGTTGCTGGACTCCCATGTAGTAGACCATGGTTTGTGTCTCAGACCTAGTGGCTTTAACTCAAGCCGGGCGTGTGTGCATTCGTGCGTGCCCAAGATCCCAAGAGGAGAATGGAGGAGAAGGGATTGTGGTGTGGCCATCCCCCCTGGGGGGTGATTTCTCGCTCTCTGTCTCTTTTTGTCTTTCTGGTGAGTACATGTATCCTATAGCAAAAACCTCTCCCCCAAAAAAGATGAATTTGTCTGCATTTGTGATTTGATAATTATACACTATATGCATGTTGTTATAAAACATACTATAACCCCCTACGCACAAAAAATACATTAAAAAATATTAAAAAGCCATAGCTATGGGGCTGGCTCCATAGCCTAGTAGTTAAGGGAGCGAGATCCTAGATGGCCGACTGGCCCTGGTGGCTTGCCCAGTGACTTGGAAAACATGACCGGATGGGTGTGCAGCTGTGCCCGAAGTCACAACCGAATGGAGAGATGGAGGAGAAGGGATTAAGGTATGACCATGCCTCATTAGGAGGGTGCTTCATTTTTTTGTCTGTCTTTCTGGCAAGCACACATGCCCTCTGGCAATTAAAAAAAATAAAAACACTTAATAGGGTATGGGTTGAGTCGGTGGCTGTAGACAGACACCAGTAAACCTGCTCTACCAGCTACTTAACCACTTGCATGGAAAGGGCCACATTTTCTGAGATTATTGCTCAATCTGTAAATGTTTCAGTGGAATTATGTAAGAGGATTCTAAAGTTTCCAGCTGATTCTAACAATTTACCAGTGTAACCTTTATAATCTGTAGAGTTACTTTTACAACTATCTGAGTATCTTTTCATTTTTATCCTGGAGTTGATCATGGTGTATAAAATCCCCAGGTATTAAGAATTGGTTATACTTCAGGTATTATAATACTATTATAAAAACAGCATGAAGCCAGCTGGTGGCATGGAGGTTAAGGCACTGTATCCTACACTCGATCCTTGAAGTCCTCAACCCAGTATCTTGAAAAACATGCCAGACACGTGTGTGTGCACCCAAAATCCCAAGAAGAGAATGGAGGAGGAGGGATTTGAGGCATGGCCATTCCCCTTAGAGGGTGATTTCTTACTTCCCTCTCTCTTTTTCTGTCTCTCCAGCAAGTACACACACTCTATAGCAAAAACATAAACAAAATCAAACAAAAAATGGCATAGATTTCCGTAGCCCATTTCTGGTCTATCATGCTAACCTTTCTAACATATTTAAAAAATTTTATTTTTCAGGAGGCAGCCAAATATGGCAAGAAAGTGATGGTCCTAGATTTTGTCACTCCAACCCCTCTTGGAACTCGATGGGGTAAGTTTTAAAGATACTTTAGAAGTAGTTTTATAGAAGTAGGTTTTATCCTACTTGATTTAAATGTCTTCTAAAACTCAATACAGACAAATCAAAAACAAAACAAAAACACTTAGTTGAGTTAAGGAAAAATGGACTACTAAAAACTTGGGTTTTCGGGCAGAGTCAAGATAGGAAAAAGCTATGATTTAAACGTAAATGTGTGAGTAATCTTGATGCCTAGGATTTTAATAACTAAAGATGTGAACTTCTCGTGTAGATTTTTGCTTTAAGTCTGCCTCTTAATTCAGTAAGAGCTAGATTCAGATTCCTTAATGGATAACCCTTGCTACTTCTGAGTCTCAATGAATTATACGTTTATGGTTAATTATTCAACAAATGTTCACTAAACATGTAGTCTGCACCAGAATCTGTGAAGATACAGCGGTGACCACTTTATAGACGTTATTTCCTGCCCCAGTGGAGCTTACATTCTGGTGGGCAGGCAACAGATAAGCAAGACCTTTAGGAATTGGATAAATGGAACTGAAAGGAAGTACATAATGGGCTGGGAGGGACTAGGTAAAGGCGGGAGTTTGACTTTGAGAAGATTGCCAAGGGAGGCTGTTGAAGAGGTGGCACGTAGATGAGGCCCCCAGCAGTGAGAATGGGTCAGCTGGGGTAAAGCTGAGGCAGGACTTTGCAGGCAGGTTTTCTCTGTTTCTGAGCGGTGATCTGAGTGGTGAGAGCCGGAGGTAGTGGTGTGAGGTAAGACAGGAGAGGAAGGCATTTGGCAAGACTGTACAGGACCTTTTTTTTTCTGGAGGTTTTTGCTATAGGGTGCATGCGCTTGCCAGAGAGACTGAAAGCGAGAAATCACCCCCCAGGGGGATGGCCACGCTGCAATCCCTTCTCCATTCTCCTCTCGGGATCTTGGGCACGATCGCACATGTGTCAGGCGTGAGTTTAAGCCACAGGGTCCAGGGCTCAAACTGCAGTCGGCTACATGGGAGTCCAGCGACAAAGCCATTATGCCAACTGCTGGTTCCTATACAGGACCTTTTATACCTCAATGAGGAATTTAGATAATTCAAGGCATGGTGGGCAGCCTTGGAGGAGTGCACGGCACGGCAGTGGTCATGACACAATCTCATAAAGATCACTTGGCTGCCTGCATTAGGAGGTGGCAGTGTACAAGATGTCCAGATAGGGTGGTGCCACGGTTTCTAATTCACCCATTCAGTAGGGACTTACTAATGTGAACTCCTCGTCAGGCACTGTCCTTAGCGCTGGGTGTATCCCCTCTGCCCCGTGGAGCATACACTCTGGTAGTTTTCTCAGAGGACTCGCCTTTGAGCTGTGAAGGCCACTGTTGTCTTGCTTCTTACACTACCATGTTGGCTACCTCCCCCATCTTACCCCCAGGCTGCATGTTTTGTTCTTTTGGAGCAAGCTATCTTCATGCTCTTTAAGCTTAGAGATGCTGTTTTTTTTGCAGGGAGTGGGGAAGTCATGAGTCATTTAGAGTCAATCCAAAGCAGCAGGGCACGTCCTTAAAAATCACAGATAGGACAAAAATTTTTTATGAAGAGTTATTTATTTAAATTGATTTATTTATTCACTTATTTTAATTTGACCAGAGAGAGAGAGAGAGAGAGGAAGTGAGAAAACAAGCCACCAAGTCTAGGACTTGAACCATGGTCGGCCACGCGGGAGTGTCCAGAGCCTTAACCACAATGCCACCTGCTGGTCCCCCATAAAACAAATTTTATATATACTTTCAGACTCACTGCCATCTAACCATGCCCAGCACAATAGCCTTTTTACCAGTTCTGTGCATGGCTTTAATGGCAGATACTACAATGTGCACACAGTGAAATTTTAATTTCTGACATCTTTATCAGCAGTCAGTCAATTTTGACTCTTGAAAGTATATGGAAATTGTGGAATTCTTTTTGTTTTCTTTTAGAATGATGTGACTGTGTTTGATGTATAAGGCTTTCTGAACTTTGAAATGTCCCTAGAGTTAGGAATAATAAACTTATAACAGTTTTGGCCACCTACACAAGTAAAGTAAAAAGTTTCATAGAATTGTAATAATTGTTGACCTTTTCTTGCAAAGCTTGTCAAGCAGGCTATAAACTGATTTCTCAATGTTGTTGCAGGTCTCGGAGGGACATGTGTGAATGTGGGTTGCATACCTAAAAAACTGATGCACCAAGCAGCTCTGTTAGGACAGGCCCTGCAAGACTCTCGCACCTATGGATGGAAGGTCGAGGACACAGGTAGGGGAGGGAGACTACTCTGCCTTTGGGAGTGTAAGCTTTGTTGTTACAGTGCACCAGCTGGTTTTTGTCCGTCCAGTAAATACCCTGAACATCGTTTTTATTGTTCACTTTTATGTTTATCATTTTTTATGAATAAAACCTTGCAGTTACCTTTCGTCAGGTTGGGCTGTGTGTGTGTGTGTGTGATAATTATAAAGGTAAGAATAGATAATGCACTTGGGGTTTGGTATTTCTCTAATTAAAAATAACATAATTGGGACCAGCAGTTGGCGAAATGGCTGTCACTAGACTCCCATGTGGTTAACTGCAGTTCAAGTCGGTGGCTTAAACTCACAATGGGTGCGTGTGCATGTGTGCCCACCCAAGATCCCGAGAGGAGAATGGAGAAGGGATTGAAGTGCCCTGGGGTGTGATTTCTCGCTTTCTGTCTCTCTACACGCCCTATAGCAAAAATCTCTCAAAAAAACCCAGAATTGTTAAAAACAACTTCTCATACAGTATCAGTAAGAAACCCTAATAGTAATTATATTATTCTTTAGTAATTCATAAGGAAGAACAAATCATACCTGCTTTCTTTTGAAGCTGTTCATTTTGCTTTCTCCAAAGAAGTCTGTTTCATGAGCTGATATTTGGGGAGTAGAGATTGTTGAGGGGGTGGTTAGATTTTGTTGGATTGAAACTATTTGGAGCACCTTAGGAACCTTAGACAAGCTAAAGAGGGAGGGGGCCGTGGGTTTTAGAAAGTTAATTGCATTTTTGCATTACTTGGCAGATTAAAGTGAGGCCTGGCATAGCTCTCTGACTAATTAATGACATACATCACTGTCCTTGAAAAATGGAAATCCAATCCCTGTCTGAATTTAGATTTGAGATCTATGAGGTGTGAAGCATTTGAAGGAAAATCTTCCAGTAGCTAGGGCAAACTATTTTGTGACTTCTTTGGAGTTTTAGTTAAGTTTATTCAATATAAAACCAAGACATAATTAGATGCTTTGAAAAATTTTGCTCCCACTAAAACTAGTCATGCCTCTTTTGCTGATTTTTCTTCCCATTCAGAATCAATAGTACTCTTTTCAGTTACTCTTAAAGATTTCTTATGTCGAGTTTGTATCTGTTTCCTCAGACCCTTCCGAGACTACATTCTGCCCATGACCTCTGGAGGCCTGAGCCTGTACTAAGTTTCATTACTTGATTCTGAGACCCATGTTTTTTCTCTTTCTCCACAAAAAGAGCAGTTGAATAGATTCTTGTGACCTATGGAGCATGGATTTATTTTATTTTATTTTTTAAGAAATATTTTATTGAACTTTATTTATGTATTTATGTATTTTAATTTGACCAGAGAGGGATAGAGTGAGAGAGAGAGAGAGAGAGAGAGTAAGTGAGAAAGCAAGCTTCCAGTCTGGGACTTGAACTGCATGCATTCGGCCATGTGGGAGTCTAGCACCCCTAACTGCCATGCTACCTGCTGGCCCCGGAGCATGAATTTAATATATAATCTATCGAAAGTCCACCACTCTTCCTGGGCCTCCCTCCAAGTTATTATTTACTTCCATGTCTAAATACTTACCAACTAAGTTGCCTGTAAATGTGCTTTTTCTCCCACTGGGAACTATTAATGTACGCAGTTAATAAGGTCTATCTTTAGTTAATTTATTAGACTTAGTTAACATTTTAGAAATGCTACCGATGATGGACTTGTTGAGAGTACATTAATCTGGGAACCAGCAGATGACGTAAGGGTTATGTCACTGGACTCTCACGTAGTCGACTGCAGTTTGTACCCTAGACCCAGTGGCTTAAAGCTCACGCTGGGTATGTGTGCATGTGTGCCCAAAATCCTGGGAGGAGAAGGGATTGCAGCATGGCCTTCCCCTCTGGGAGCTGATTTCTTGCTTTCTGTCTCCATCTCTCCAGTGAGCGTGTGTGCCTTATAGCAAAAATCTCTCTAAAAAAAAAACCAAACCAAAACAAAACAAAAACAAAAAAACTAAATTTGTTCCAAGCAAATTTTGATTTATGCAGCTTTATAATATCCATATACTGTCTTCTTGCTAGTAAATGGCACTGGGTCTTAAATCCAGAGAAGTGGCAGTACTAAAGTGATATAACTCAGACCTCTAAAGTTTCTCTTCATCCCTCAGGGTCCAGTACTCACATTTGTATGGAGTACTAGTGGGTGGTGGCCTTAAGCTATCATCTCTTAGGAAAAATGTAGTCAGCGGGACAGTTGCTTAACTTTGTTAGGAATGCAAGAAAATATATGTGGTAGTCTTTAGAATCTTAAAAGGCTGTCGGCTTACTTTATTAGGTTAGTAAGCTGAAGGACAAAAGTACATGTTGCTGCTTAATGTGAATTTTATGAATGGGACCAACTATATAATTTTGATAAATTCAACAGTTAGGTTGACAGTGACAATTAACTTGGTGAATTGACAAATCTTTGCAGCAAAAGAATCTCTCTAGCTATCATGTAACATCATTAACTTTGCTTATTTATGCTTAATTTATTTCTAATTTATGTTATGTGATACGTAATTTATAATCTATACACTAGTAGGTGTTCAGTGAGGTAATACAAAGCCATTATTGGCATGGTACCTACACCTTAAAGCCTATAGAAGATCCTTGAATTTCATGGCATTTTAGAACATGAACTAAATCAAAGTTGCCTTATTTGTGTCTTAGATAAATTATTCTATGAATTTAACAGTTTTACCTTTTTTGTATTTCTTTCCCTTTAACCAGATTTTAATGTGGAAGTACAGTTTTCTATACCTCCCAGCACTTCTGTTTGTCAGCAGTGACAGCAGTCTCAAAGTGTTCTGGGACTCAGAGTGTTGGTGAACTGCCCTCTACTAAGACCTTCCACTAGACCTAAATAGAAGCCTGGCGGTTTGTTTATTGTTGATGCCTTCCTTCTCATTAAGCCTTTGGTCTTCTGAGATCAGCTGTGGCCTAGCTGTCAAAACCAGTTCTGACTTTGTGGGAATGGCATGGTGTGCTGCCAAGATCCACCACCGAGGGAACAGTGATTAACTCCCGACCTTCTGTGGTGAAGGATACGATAGACCTAGACAGACGTTACCCTGTGTCATTAGGTCTTAGCGTCAGAAATGGGAGGTGTATTTTCAGATGCGCCCATCGATACTCTTAGACTCTACCAGTCCATGGATCCCAAACGGTGAAGTTTGAAGACTTACTTCGCACTCTTAGACTAGACACACTTCTACTCTTACGTCCTCGACAAAGAGGAGCCCTCTTGTTTTTTAGGAAGACTGTCTTCCCTGACTCCACAAATGGATCCCAGTGTGCAGAGGGAGGAAAGGGCCTTAGGCCAAGCAGAAGTGACAGGTCAGCCCACAGCTGGAAGGTCCAGGATTCAGCCTGCGATCTGCCCTTTTCCTAATAATAGTGCTGGTACATGGAGGCCAGACAGGCAGGGGCTTGTCCAGGCTCTCAGTGGCATCTCCCACCCCCAAGCAGTTAGTGGCACCATGACCGTAGTAGCCTTTCCAGTTCCCTTTTTTTTTTTTAATTGAACTAATCTCTTAAGGTTTGCTCTGGTGAATATCTATAATCAGCTCTCAGGAGGCTGTAAGCCAGTTTTGGTGCTGTCACTTCCACTTCCAGAGGCAGGCTTCTGGTGTCACCATTTACTTTGTGGGCAGGCTACTTAACCGCTGAATCTGAGACTCACATTTCTTATTTTCAGAGGAAAATCTTGATTCTCCCTTTGCGCAGAACCTGCCTTGTGCCTGCCACCAGGGAGTAGCTTACCTCTATGCTGTTTTCCTAATCATTGTTGAGATATTAGTGAACAAAAGGCAAATGAATACTTTTTACTCATTGAAACATTTAAATTTAATATTATTTTAGTGCCCTGACTCAGAGAGCTAATTTAATCATAGCAGAATCTAAAGGTCTCTCTGTTTGGTGAGATAGAAAATTGGGGGGC